TACCTAAAGCATATTTATATATTCTTATATATTTATATAATCCTATATTCCTAAGCATATTTCTAATTGTTTGTAAAAAACTAGCTCGTGTTTAAAAAAAAGAGATATGTGTGAACATATCAAAAGTTCTCATAATTTAAAGCCAAGTAAAAAATCTATATTACAAAATGAGAATGCGCAGTAACAACACAGATTTACAAAATTCGTGCAGATAAAGATCAACTTAGAACATGGTTAAAGCTTTTTATTTGACAAATTTACATTCGAGTGTAATTAATAAAATTAATTTCTAAACCACAAAAGTTTAATTGAAAAAAAAGTAAAAATTACTGTAAATTAACTAGAAAAACTTTTTAATTCTTTTTTTTTATGTTACATATATGGATACATTGATTTTGGATACATTTTTACATGGATACATTTTTATTGGACACATTTTTTTTTAATGCTTTAGATATTACACCTTCAGACAATAAACTCCAAACTTAAGTAAGTTTATCTGCTTTAAATTGCATTTTTAAATAAACTGGAACTGTAAAATACAGTGCCGGATCAAGGGGGGCTAGGGGGGACTATAGCCCCGGGCCCCGCAAATTTAGGGGCCTCCAAAAATTTAAAAGGACCATTTTTTTTTTTTTTTTTAGTCATTTTTAGGATCTGGTCCATAAAAAGGCCCAAAAACAAAAATAGCCCCGGGCCCCAAGAAGTCTTAATCCGCCACTGGTAAAATAATGTTCCATTGTTCCTGCTAAGAGCTCTGCTACTCAGCACTGATTAAAAATATACATATATTTAAAATTTAATTTGTTGTCTAGTTAAAGAAAGGTTAAATAAAAATTTATTTTAATATTACAAAATAATACAAATAAGACTATTAAATAAGCAGAAAACCATATAAAATTAAGCAAGTAAAAGAAAAAATAAAAAAATTAAAACTATAAAAAACAATGATCAAGAAAAAAAAATTTAAAACAATCCTTTAAAGCTTTACATTACTTTATATAGTAAAAAAAACATAATGCTCTTTGCGTAAACAAAACGTATACTCATAATATATACGACTGAAGACCACTATATTTGCAAATAAAACAACAATAATAATAAAACTATGAAATACTACAGACCACTATTATTTTTTTATCCAAAAATAAGAAAATATGATTTACAATAATAAAAATTTAAAAAAAAAAAAAATTAATTAGATAATGTTGTAGAGTCTTATAGAAGATAAAACGTACCAAACGTACCAAAGGTGTACCAAATGTTTACAAAAAACATACCTAAAAAATTCTTTTATCTTAAAATTTTGTTATTTTTTATGCTAAATAATATTCAAACTAAAAAGTCATTTCATATGTTTTTTTTTGCCACGATTTTGAATTTAGGTAGAGTTAGTTAAACAATTAGTTCGCAAGAGATGTGTGTGATAGGTTAATGAAGACTTTAGGTTTAAAGTTAAAAATATATATTTTTTAATTAAACGTGTTTTGTTATCGGTAAACTTGATGTCCAGGTCTTCTGACAAAAAATTTTTGTAAAAGAATTTTCTGAATTACTTTTCAAATTTCCTAATCTCATTTGAACCCCATCCCTCCACCAAGTCGATTGCTTTTTTATATACTGCGCGCTGTGATAAAAATCTTTTTTCTCCTAAATAATGCTTTTATTTATTTACCACAAGGTGTTTTTGGTGTTTTTGAGTTAAAAAAAAATAATTGATTATTATATAAAAGTATCATTTATTATATCATTTATTATATAATATGATTTACTTATATTATTATATTAGTAAGGAGTTTAAATTTCATTGTTATAATACCAATATCAAACAATTATTAATTATAAATAAACCATGCCCAGATTGGTTTCCAGGTTGTTTTATTTGATAAATAATATAGAAAAATCATTGTTTTCCTTAAGTTCATAAACTTCTTTTGCATATAACTTTGTATAAATTCTTCTTATTACATATTTACATACATAAGTGCTTATATATATATATATATATATATATATATATATATATATATATATATATATATATATATATATATATATATATATATATATATATATATATATATATATATATATATATATATATATATATATATATATATATATATATATGTATATATATATATATATATATTTATATATTTAAATATATATGTATATATATATATGTTTATTTATTTACATATATATGTTTATATATATATATATATATATATATATATATATATATATTATATATATATATATATATATATATATATATATATATATATATATATATATATATATATATATATATATATATATATATATATATATATATATCAATAGTTAAAACAAAAAAAAAACTTCTTACATTATCTTGAGTTTTTAATCACTTAAAACGCGCATTTACTTTTACAATAAAGTTTATAAAATAACCAAACATTATAAACTCATTATGAACATATTATTTTAACGAGTAAATTCATAAAACTATGTCAATATCAAACTTATAATTTATGCGTCACATTAATTTAAAGTTTATTTTTGTTTAAAAATTGTTTTTATTTCTATTATTACTTTATGTTTATTCAATTGTATTATGTTTATTTAATGTATTAAAAATATCGTTTTGTAATCAACATTAATTTATATTTAGGCTAAACTTTTCCCCATTGCCTCACACCGCCGTTTTAAATCCTATGGTCAATTAAAAATCACAAAAAAATAAAATAAAATAAAAAATTGTTTTTAATAAGAAACGTTTTACTTTCGTATTTATTGTACACCCCCCCCTCTCTTCCCCTTAAATCGTCTCTGATTACTTTCGTACTTTTCAAATTCTACTAGTAAAAATATAAATAAATGCAATACTGATATAAATTTAATAAAAATATACAATTCTTTGCGACTCAAAATTTAAACTTTTGAAAATAACTTTCTATTTTAATTTAGAATAATTAAATGAATATTGTTTATATTTTGAAAACTTAAATCCTATTATCCGGATATAATTAAATGTTTGAATCTCCAAGATTTTTTACTAATATATATATATATATATATATATATATATATATATATATATATATATATATATATATATATATATATATATATATATATATATATATATATATATATATATATATATATATATATATATATATATATACTGAAGTTTTGTATAAAAGTAATTTATATAAAATTCTAATTGTAACAAAAAGATTTAATTGTTCAACGATCGATCTCGATCTTGCTTGATTAAACGATCAGCATGTGTAAGGTGATTATATCTACTTGCGAAAAATTTCTTAAAAAAATAGCCGCCAGAGTAAATATTTTTTTATTAAAATAACTCAGATAATTCTAAGTTGTTTTTTATCATTTTTTGTTTACTATATTTGCATTCTACTTTATTTTAAAAAATTATATATTATAAGCGTGCGTAGTTTTCTTTGTTTACGTGTCAGTGAATGAGCTTTATAAAAAAGTCACAGTTTATAGCTGCCGAAAAATCATACCGAAGATGACTCTACATAAAGAATAAAAGGACAGGCCCCAAAACTTTAATAGTGCCCTTACAATAAAGAAAAATTAAAAGAAAATTAAAAAAAAACTAAAAAAATTTAAAAATTAAAAAAAAAGTAAAATTGTGAAATAACTTTTAGTTGTTAATTTTTTGTTTTAACTTAATCTCTAGTCAAACGTAGAAAGCTAATTAAGTTAGTCTCTAAATTTCCTTTCTATTTGCATTTGTTTTCAATTGTAAATTATTTTTATTAGATCAAATAAACTTTTAAATTGTTTTCTTATTTTGGTCTTATTAAATTAAAACAAATCAAATTATTTCATTTTAATGCAAATTATTCAAATTATGCAAGTTGCTGTTATTATAAGTATGTTATATTTATTTTGCTGGTTATAATTTTACAAATTTTTCATAAAACAAAATAAAGAACTTATAAACTTTATTTTAAAAATTTTGTTTTTGTTTACAAAAAAACTTTTTTTTTCTTTACAAAGACAATAAATATTACAAAGAACAATGAATGTTACAAAGACTTTTTGAACAATAAATGTTTATATATTATGTTATACCATCTCTGCATAAATAGTATATATAAAGGTACATAAACGTCTACAAAACCAACTAAAAGTGTACGAGAACCCTGTACGGACTCACAAAATATTTTTGGTGAGATGTATATATATATATATATATATATATATATATATATATATATATATATATATATATATTATATATATATATATATACATGTATATTATATATATATATATATATATATATATATATATATATATATATATATATATATATATATATATATATATATATATATATATATATATATATATATATATATATATATATATATATATATATATATATATATATATATATATATATATATCAGAGGAAAACCTTACCTCTCAGTAACGATTTAAAGATTCAGAAACGTTGAAAAGAACGTTCGAAAACCTTTTAGACTTAAGTTTTAGTATTTGTTTTTGTTTTTTATTAAATGGTTTTAGTTTTCTTTCTTAAACTATTACGTTTTTATAAAAATTTAAATTTCAATGCTGTTATCAGAAAAAATGGAAAGGAGTACATTACAATAAATTTAAATATTGTCATAGATTATCGTCCTTTTATAAGTTAGTTGCATACGGTAATTTGTAAAAGATTAGTAAACGATTTTTACCTTTAAGTAAAAAACTTTTTGAAACAAAATAGAGAGTAATATTAAAATATAAAAATAAATTTGTTAAACTTTTTATGAGTCTTAAAATCAAAACTCTAACAATGGTCTCTGAACACAAACTTATTTTATTTTGAAAAAAAAAAAACTAAAGTTACTTTTTAACAAAGTATTAAGTTTTATTATTAGAATATTTTTGCTGACAATATTAATAACATCACTTAAAAGAATTTATTCCATTGTAAATAATAGTTGTTATGGAATTAAAAATAGTTTTAATAGTTTGTATTTTATACCACAGCTATGTATAAAATTTTTTTATTAGAAAATGTGACTAATTTATTTTTAAATGACTTTGCGTTGGATTTAATAAAAGATCTTGTAAAATACATTTATGTATGTATTTTTATATAACAAACTTGTAACACTGGAATTCAAACATTTGACTTAAACATATCATCTCCGTTAATTGAACTCCGCTGACCTTTTTATTTGTTTTATTTGTTTCTAGGATCAATTTTTGTAACATGTTTTAATTTATTTTTCAAACATTCAAAAAAAAAGTAAATATGGTTTTAGTAGATTTATTATTATCATGATGTTTGTTTTTTGATTTGAATCAAAATTCAGTTTAATTGAATTGGGCGAAGAAAATAAACAAAAGCCACGTGACTAAATAAAGAAATTTTATAAAAGTCACATGATTATAACTGCCTCACTTTAGGAATTTAGTAAATTCACATTTAATTAACTAATTCAGTTACAAATTTTATAATTATATTTATAATTTCTTTTATTTCTCAAATTATTTTTTTTATTTAGTCAATATCTTTTGTTACTTTTATTTAACACCCATCGCTGCCTTTTATTTAACACCCATCGGTACTTTTATTTAACACCTATTGCCACTCTTATACGTTATCTAAAAGGTAATCTCAAAGATGTTTATTTTCTTCTTTTTTTTGTTTTTTAAAAAAGTTTCAGTTTGGTTATTTGTTAAGTATAAGTATCAAACTCGAACGACTCAAACAACTCGAGTATCAAACTCGAACAAATAAGCAGAAAAATTTAGTTTAAAGAAAACGTTTTGTTCCTAATAATAAAAGAACCAACTTTTCAAAAATTCAATGAAAAATTGAAATATTTTTTAGAACTATTGATTGTTGACGATAAAAATCAAATTAAAAATATCGTCCAATTACCACCGTTAGGCAATTAACTCCAAGGTTATCACGTAATTAAATGGAACTTTTTAATAAAAGAAAGTTATAACTTAAATGTCTGTATATTAAGCTGGAAATTATGACAAAATAAAGAATTATTTCAATAAATTAGATTAGGAATTTATATTTGCAAATATGAATATCAATGAAGCTTATGATTTTTTTATTAAACAATACAATATCCAGCTTGTCAAGAAAATATACCTTATATACCTTAATATACCAATATAGCTTGTCAAGAAAATATACCTTATATACCTTAATATACCAATATAGCTTGTCAAGAAAATATACCTTATATACCTTAATATACCAATATAGCTTGTCAAGAAAATATACCTTATAAAAATCCAAAAGAAATAAAAAGAAAAAGTTGGATGACTAAAGAATTAAAACTTTGTATTAAATCAAAAAACAAATTATGGTTACAATCTAGAAGTTCGAACAATAAAGACATTAAAATGAAGTACAACGCTGCTAGGCGTAATGTTACAAAAGAAATCTAGGCTACAGTACAAAATTTTGAACACAGAAAAAAATCCCAAAACAAACCCAAAACTTTTATACGGATATATTAAACCAAGCAACAAATAAAAAACTTTATTAAAGCTATAAAATTCGAGGAAAATATAGTAACAGATCCAAAAAATATTACAGAACATAGATAAAATCAATGACAATGTTTTGATAAGTGTGATGGTTTAAACAAACTATTAAACTTAAATAGAACAAAATCAATGGATTCAGATTGTGTGCATCCCTTTGTGTTAAAGTCGTGTGCTGATGAAATTGCGTTGCCAATATTTTTATTCCTCAGAAAATCAAAAGATGAAGCAGAGGCAACCTAAGAAAGAGGCACCTAAGGCATGGAAAATTGCATTAAATCTGGTCCATTAAATTAGATCAGATCTTTCTTATCAAGTAGAAGTTAAAGAATTATATATGGTGATGTTAATTCGTTATGGCTAGAAGCCAGAAGTGGTGTCCCACAAAGATATGTTCTTGGTCCGCTATTGTTTAATCTTTACATTAATGATTTGTGTTCATTACTTAAAAATCCATGCGAGCTATATGCGGACAATAGCGGAGTTATATGCGGATGATAGCAAAGTTATTGCAATTTTAGATGAAAGAAGTAACACTTTGAAGCTACAAAATGCATATTGACATTACAGAAAAATGGTCTAAAATATTGAAGATGAAGTTAAATTTAGATAAATGAAAGGTTAGACATATTGGCAAGTTAAATCCAAAACATTTACAAACTTTTGGGCAAGGTGAGTTTAAACAAGTTCTTGGCACTCTCTCGTAGTGCTAAGTACTTAAACAAGTTCTTAGCACTACGTAAAAGTTTCTTTACAAATCGAGTATTAAAATTATGAAACAAACTGCCTAGTTCAGTTATTGAATCGCAGTCCGTTAATAAGTTTAAATCGAAAATAGACAAATTATGTTTCATCTAAGTTGTTACGTAAAATCTTGTAAAACCTATTATTTGAGTCTGTTATAGGGTTGACTTGGCGTTAACCCTCTCCAGTGGGCACTGGACC